AACCTTTCCACCCGGTTCTCCCCAGCGGGAGCTCTGCGCATCTCAGATTGCAGCGGCGCTTGTCTGCTGTGTGGCTGCCGGCTTGTGGAGGTCTCGGAGACCTCTGTGTTCCACCCGGTTTTACCCAGCGATCAGCCCGGCGTATCTGACTCAGAAGCTCTGTTGTTGTGCACAGTTAACTCCGGTTGGAGCTAGGTTTCTACCTCCGTTAGCTTAGCTCCCACCTCCGCATTAGCTTTGGGTTAGCTTGTAGCTAGTTTGACCGGGTGTCGTCAGTTGATCCCAGCCTTACAGCCCCACCTCTCTTCCCTTTAATGGAATTGTTTGGGCTTGACAGAACCTGTGACACAGTCAAAATGGCGGTGGTGGCCACCTCCCATTTTAGTACAAAAACTTATTATTGGAGGCTATGGAAACCCATTGTCCATATATGTATGTCGATGGTTTACCCCCAGCCCTAGAATAAATTAATGTTGAAATGCACCAGCAAGAAAGAGAGGATGTTCTGCTGTGTGGGATCACTTTGAGCTGTCAGCAAACGGATTTGCAGTCGCCTTTTTTCATTTATTCATTCAGCAAATTGACTGCATTGTTTTGTAAAAACGCTGAAAGTGTGTGTGTGTGTGTGTGTGTGTGTGTGTGTGTGTGTGTGTGTGTGTGTGTGTGTGTGTGTGTGTGTGTGTGTGTGTGTCCACCTCGTTCTATGGAGGGACACTGTATGACCCCCCCACACCCCCCACCCAATGGACAACAAAGGGACACGACAGTGCCATTCCCTGTGCTCTGAGCGCCCCACCCGGCCCCACACCTATTCTCACCCATGGAACAATGCAAAAGTTGACAGCCCTGAAGCATACAAGTCGGTTAATATACATTGTTTACTTCATTTCTTGTAAACATACTAAGAAACAGAAAGGACCAACCAAGTGATGAGTGTGAGGACAATTTATTTCATCATTTGGTAAGCAGATTGTTTCAAATTGTTGTTCATTATAAAGGCCACTAGATGTCATCCAAGAGGACTGTGTTAGAAAGCTCTGAGTAAACGAATGAACCGTTTTTTGATAAAAGTGCTTCAGAAAGCTTCATTTGGTCATCACAAACGTTTATTTTTCTTTTCACATAGATTTGACAGACAGGATGTAACTACAAAGATTACAGTTTAATGTGACATCATAGAGACTGGATGACAGAAAATTCACTAATTTAAAATATTTCTAGTCACTTGACTCAGTTTCTATCTTTAAAGCTGATTTGGTGTACTTGGAACGATGGTGGCAGAGGAGTTAAGCTCCCGTCTCACAACCGGAGGGTTGTGGGATCCAGTCCCACCCAGTATGATCCAGTCACTGTGTCCTCGGGCAAGACACTTTGCCCTACTTGCCTGCTAGGGGTGGTCAGAAAGACTGGTGGCGCCAGTGCTTGATAGCGTTGCTATTGTCAGTGTGCCCCAGGGCAGCTGTGGCTACATTGTAGCTGACTACCAGTGTGTGAATGTATGCGTACATGAGTGAATGACTATGGGATGTGAAGCTTTGGCTCTTTTAGCCATCAGGCTCCTCTCCTGTGGAACCAGCTCCCAGCTTTAGTCCGTGAGGCAGACACCTTGTCTACTTTTAAAACTAGGCTTAAAACATTTTTATTTGACAGGGCCTATGGTTAAACTCTGATGTTAGCCTAGATCTGGACAAGTGGGGGAGTAGAGGGAGGTGGAGTGTAAAGTCAGTAAAGACGGCTCTCCTTTGCCCTGACTCCAACATGCCTCCATCTAAAAGGCTAGGTTATCCAGAGTTATCTCTGTAGTTATGCTGCTATAGGCTTAGACTGCTGGAGGATACACTGACCACTTTCCACACTCTACTACTTTCTTCTACAATCTGCTCTTTAACTGTATTATTTCCTGCTATTTCAGCTGTTAACTTTATTTTTTCTCTAAGTGTTTTTCTCCCCAGAAGAAGCTACAATGATGATCTGCTGAGCTGTGGTGGCTTCATGGAGGGCACCATCGACTTGAACACTGTTGCTAATCACTTAAACATTCTCCTTCTCCTGATAACATTTTACTTTGATTTGACATTTATCCACTAGGATAAATACAATAAAGTTTATCTCTCACCAAATAGAATATTTACTAAGAAATCAAAATGTAACCATAGAAACATTACTTGGTATATATGTTGTTGGTGTCGATGTGTGCAAGTGTGTGTGGGCTGGTGTTGATGTATGCGTGTGTCTGCTTTGTCTTCTCGATCCCCAGTGAGTCGTGGTGGATCCTCTGGAGGTTTCTTCCTGTTAAACGGGAGTTTTCCTCTCCACTATCGCTAAATGCTTGCTTAGTATGAGGATTGCTGTAAATTGATGCAATTTGCTGGGTTCCTTATATAGGAAACTTTTTACTGATTGGCTTAATGAACTGACCTGTATTGGATTGTTTACCATGAAGCGCCTTGAGATGACTTGTCGTGATTTGCAACTAGAGTGAGAGAGATTAATAGTTGCTACACACTGGTGTGGTGTGGTGAAAATTGTCCTCCGCATTTGACCCATCCCCATGGGGAGCGGTGAGCTGCAGCTGTTGCTGCACTTGGGAACGATTTGATGTTTAAACCCCATTCCAACCCCTTAAAGCTGAGTGTCAAGCAAGGAAGCACTGGGTCCCATTTTTATAAAATCTTTGGTATGACCCGACCGGGATTTGAATCTCTCAGTCCCAGGACGGACACTCTACCACTAGGCCACTGAACTGGTTTAGTTAGGCCAAAGCCTAATACTCGCACTGCGTCCTGCGGTCTTCAGCAAAGTGCACTTGGAGAAGGATGGCAGTATGGCTTTGAGTGCGTGGTACACAAGTGTGCAAATAATTGTCAAATTGAGACAGTGAGCACTGCATAATCAGAGCATCAACTAATCATCTTGAGCCTTTTCTCTTGCAGCAATGGATTGTGGGTAATACCCTTTGCCCAAATCTGCATCGATGCAAAACTCTGAGCTGATGTAGCTACAAGCTAACTGAAGCCAACACAGTTTGGTGGGCCCTTTTATCCAGAAAAATGCGGCTGAGCAACTCTGCTACCCTCTGCCTTCCAGGCTGTAACATTTTTAACACGAGACCGGGGTTGAGGCCTTCCCTGGAGCAAGCAGGGGGGCACGCCAATAGCACTAGCACTGACAGCTCATGTACTACCTGTGAATCAAAGACACTACCCCAATAAATCAGTTCCCAGCTTTAATTACATCTAAACTGTCAGTTGTTTTTACATTTATTGGAAAAATGCACATGTAACCACTCAAAGTGGCTGCAAAACGTTTTATTGGTGCTTTTTTTAATGGTAAATGCTTGTATGATTGTTCTTTTGTCTTGGTATGTGTGACTGTGTGTTCAGAGTTTTATGCTCTGCAGAACAGGAACCTGCTGAAAGAGTTTTAACCGAGTCAGGTCTGCTTGTTTTAATTTTTCCTGTTTAATACATTAAAAATCAAATCAAACCTATGAGATACAATAAACTGCACCTACCTCAAGAGTTGTCACGACAACAAACTAGATCTATTAAACCTAAAATGTTGTTGTACCGGGCTGTAAACATGTTTATTCCTGCTGTAAAGTTGGCACAGCTCCTGTCTGGAGCCAGTCCCTAGTGGATGGTGCGTCATTTTAACACCGGCTTCACTTTCAGCAGCAGGAGATTGTTTCTTGGTTCAGACCAAATAAATATGTCCTGCACAGACTTCCAGTTCTTTACCATGTTCTAGAGCAAGTCCCATTCTCTGTCCCTTTCCCAGGCAAGCTAACATTATAAATGTGTCTATAGTTGCATTCACATAGCCTCTCTTCAAAAGATACCGTTATTTATGTCCTCTTCTTACCTTTTACTGGTCACAAACGCTATAGTGCACAACAATGTCACCATATTTTCTATCGGAAGCACTAAAGTAGCTGTAAACTAGGAAAATAATCTAATGCAATATAAAAGGAAGTGACTGATCCATGGGTTTACTGTCAAATACGGATTCGCCCTTACAATGCTTACAAGCTTATTAGGACCTCTGAACACCACCTTTATTGTCATCATAATCAGAGCTACATCTCTTCATCACACTCAGGAAAGCTGCCTCTGCTTGTAGGACAGAGCAATGTTCTCTGTGGACCAGCAGAAGGGAACACTAGAGGCCTGCTGGAGGTTCACAGAAGCTGGGACAGGAGCTGAAAAGGGAATTGAAGAACCGGCTAAAGGTTGATTTAACTCTGTGACAACAGGGCTGCTGGAGCTCAGGGCAGCAGAAGAAAACCTCAGAGCAGATTCTGAGCTGTACTAAACTCACCACACTTATGAAGGAAATGTTTTACAGGGTTTCCCCCAGAAAATGAGTTAAACCTGGCGGATTCGCGCGGGAAGGGGGGGAGCGCTCCGTCTCGCAGCACTCCTTTGTGAGAGCGGGGGTGGGGTGGTTGCACACGTTCTGCTGTGGTTTCTCACCAGTATCAGCTGATGGAGGGCTCTAGTTTTGTTGCGCTGTTCATGTCAGTGGACACGGTAGGGTCGGGGAGGGGGCGTGGCGTGGCGCTTAGCCTGGTGGGTGCCCAAGCAAAGCCTGGCAGGCCGCCAGGCTTATAAAGCGCTGGGGGAAACCCTGCCTTTTATATGTTACAGATTCTGCTGCATTTTTCAGTATTTATTACTAAATCTGAAGGAATTTTGAGGGAAAGGCAAACATCTCCATAAGCTGTTGTGAAGTTTTAACACTTCCATTCTTAATGTCCTGACTGATTATTTCTTTCTTTAAACACTGTTCAGTAGTTCAATGACCTTTAGAGTAATGGAGTAAAACTTCCAGCTGCATCTTAATGTGACAGGCAACCCCCACCCCCCACAAACCCGTGTGTTCTGCTTTGATACGAGTCTTCATAAAACTGACAAGCTGTACTTTATAGCTGAAACCTGTGAAAAGCCAAACACGTAAATAAGAGGGAAGCTCTTTGATGAAGACAGAAATGGTCTGACCTCTGACTTTTCCAGCCGGTTCTGAACCTCCACTTGCGCTATAATTTCATTCATGTTGGTCTCCAGCACCATGCCCCCCATTACCACCTCCTGCAAGATATAGTGGACCTGTGCAGAGAGAAAAGCACAGCAAGTCAGCAAGAGTTAAAGGTTCAATTCATGGTCACTCACAGATCAGTTTCCCTCTAATCTCCAGATTACACAATTCCTCAAATTAATCCAGGAACAGTCTCCCACTGCCTCCTCAGTTTGAGAAATTAGACCTTTGTTTTTATGTAAATAAACAAGCAAACAGGTCTGAGAAGAGGGCGGGGGTTGGGAATGTCTGGGGCATATTTACATTTACCCTCCTACTCCACATGACCCGGTTCCTGCAGGGAAAACTCCATCAAGATGGTCTGATCAGCTTTCCACGTTGCTCTAAAACATCCCTTCACACAGAGAAAACGCAAGTAAAAGCAGTAGAATAACTTTGACACTATAAAGCTAGTCGATACGAGTGGGTTTCACTTCTCAAAATAAATGTTAATGAAGGATGGATGTATTGGGAGAAAAAAAAAAGTTTGATTCAAAAAATAAAATTCATCTTTTGCTCTGCTGTCCTCATCCATCCCTGTCCTGTTTGATTTGAGAAATATTTACCATGTTTAATAAATGTATTCAAGTGAAATAACTGCTGATGTTTAGAGATCTAAATGAAAATGCGGGCACTGCTACATCAGACAGAGCCCGTGGCTGTTTTAGCCAATGGTAGACCTTCTGAGGAAACAATAAAGCGTGGCTAGAACGACCTGCATAGTTACATATTTAGTACGTTGTAATGATTCCACCTTGTTCTGCCATGCCTGTCATGTTTGTTTTTTCCTTTCTGCCAGTCCTCCTGTTAATCAGCTTCACCCAGTTCAGTTGAGCCCTGCCTGATTGCCTCCCTGCTTCACCTGTGCGCTGCTCCTTTTAAGCAAAGCTCAGGCTCTGTCTCCCTGCCAGATTATCAACAGCCTTGTGGCAGTAGAGACTCCAGCGATATTTTCAACCAAGCCTTTTGACCACGTCCTCTGTCCACGGATTCTGCCTGCCTTGCCACTCACGGATTCTTCGCCCATCTGGTCATCTTGGCTCTGAACTTTGAGTACTGATCCCTGCTCAACCCCCTGATAAGTATTGCTGACTTCTGCCTGTTTGTGTATGACCTTGCCTGTACCTCACTCTGACATTGGATTTTTGGATACTAGAACTTCTGTGGGCTGTACTAATTATCTGTGTCGTTTTGAGGAGAGGAGTTGAATCCACAGACCGAAGAGGAGCTCCCATAGCTGGCAACGAGACAGTCCCGCCCCCTCTCCCTGTCATTGCAGCACATACTGCTCCGTCTCCAGTTTTCCTATCAGCAGATTCTTCAGCGATTCCCTGATTCTCCCACATTAAAAAATTTAATATAAAAACACCTTCTTTAACGTTTTACTGTTGTGCTCTGGCTGAATTTCTGGGTTTTCAGGTTATACCCATTAGAGTAGTAAGTAAACTTTATTTATATAGCAGCACTTATCAGACATAGAATCACAAAGTGCTTCACATAGATCAAAACAAATTAAAACAAAGTCATGAAATCAGAATTTTCAAAACAGAAAAAGATTATCAGAAAAAAATAATGAAACATGATTACAAATTTAATTAATTTGAGTTAATAAGAAAATAAAAGATTTAGATAAAAGCAGCTTAAAGTGTCCAGACTGTCAATGCTACGTAAGGATAAAGGAAGATCATTCCAAAGTCGGGAGGAGCTTGACCATGAAGAGCATTGAAAGTTATAATCAAGTTTCTAAAATGAACTCTAAAACGGGGAACCAGTGCAAAGACATTAGAAGAGGAGTGATTAGAATAAGAGTGATGTGTTCTCTTCTGTTTGCTCCAGTTACGAGCCTCGCTGCAGAATTCTGGACCAACTGAAGGTGGTCAAGTGCTTTTTGGTTAAAACGTGAAAAGTGTGTTACAGTAATCTAGACGGGAGGAGATAAAGGCATGGATAACCATTTCAAGTTCACGTTTTTACACCAACCTTTGCAGTTTGGAGATATTTCTTAAGTGATAAAAACAGTTTCGGACCAATGTTTTTGAGAAATGTTTAAGAAACATCGATTGGTCAAAAACACCCAAATTCCTTAAGTTTGTCTTGAAGGCAGAGGATAAATGACCAAGTTTTAGACTAATCGGGGGAACCATGCTCTCAGAGGCAATGATCAGACATTCAGTCTTTTGTCTGGCAAAGTCAATAAGCTTAGATCTAGCATCTCTCCTTCAGCCTTATCGCTGCCTCTCCCGACTCCAACCAGGACCATCATCCTAGATAGCTTTGCTCCTGTTTCTTTGCCTGAGTTAACCAAACTAGTTAACTCTATGAAGACCTCTGCATGCCCCCTCGACATCTTACCCTCATCTTTGTTTAAAAGTGCTTTTCAGTCCATCGGTCCCAGCGTGCTCTCTATAATTAAAGCTTCTCTGGTCTCTGGTCAGGTCCCTGCTTACTTTAAAAATGCTGTAATCCACCAGCTTCTTAAAAAACCGAGTCTCGACCCCTCTCTCCATAGCAGCTTCAGACCAATCTCTAAACTTCCGTTCATCTCCAAGATCTTGGAAAAGGTAGTGGCTAAACAACTCACAGCTGCTCTTGATGAACATAACATCTATGATAGCTTCCAGTCAGGTTTTCTTAGAGCTCATTCTACTGAAACAGCTCTTCTTAGGGTCTCTAGTGACCTTCTGACTCAGTGATGCAGGGGACTGTTCTGTTCTGGTCCTGCTGGACCAGACTGCAGCCTTTGACACTGTTGACCATCACCTGCTACTGGAGAGGCTAAGAGACTGGGTAGGCCTATCAGGAACTGCTCTGGAGTGCTCCTTTTCTGTGGCCGTCTCCAACTTTAGGTCCTCCACCTCCTCTCTTACCCATGGTGTCCCACAAGGTTCAGTGCTGGGGCCTCTGCTCTTCCTCCTCTATCTGCTTCCTCTTCAGCACATCCTGAGCTCCTTCAAAGGAATCTCCTACCATCTTTATGCAGATGACATCCAGCTGTACATCTCCTTTAAGCCCCATGAGATGTCTAAGCTGCAGCTGTTTCACACCTGCTTAGACTCTATCAAAACCTGGATGGCTGGGAGCTTTCTACAACTGAATGAAGATAAGACTGAGATTCTCATCTGTGTCCCAGACAAGCTGGTTCCCAAAGTCAGAGACTCTCTTGGTCAGCTTGCTTCTCACACCAAACCTTCTGTCAGGAATCTTGGTGTGACCTTTGACCCAGCTCTCACCCTGGATTCTCATATCAGTTCTCTTGTTCGCTCTTCCTTCTTCCATCTCAGGAACATTGCTCTGAACTTGAGACAGTTATCCACACCTTCATCTCCTCACTCTTAAGACTACTGTAACTCTCTTTTCACGTGTCTGAGCAGAACCTCCCTGAACCGTCTACAGGTGGTTCAGAATGCCTGTGCTCGGATTCTGACCAAGTCCTCCAAATACACCCACATCACCCCGCTTCTCCTCCAGCTTCACTGGCTGCCAGTCAACTTCAGGGTTCATTTCAAGACCCTGGTTCTGGTCTATAGGGCCTTACATGGACAAGCACCATCATACATTGGTGATCTTCTTAGTCCCTACACCCCCAGCAGGTCCCTGAGGTCCAGTGATCAAAGCCTACTGGTTGTGCAGCACCAGGCTAAAGACCAAAGGTGACAGATCATTTGCTGCTGTGGCCCCCAGACTCTGGAACTCTCTCCCCCTGAGCCTGAGATCAGTGGACTCAGTGATCTCCTTTAAAAAGCAGCTGAAGACTCACTTTTTCAAGCTAGCTCTTGTATGACCTTCTTCACCACTCTCTCTTTATTCTGCTCTCCCCACCTATTCCACCTTCCTCAGGATCCACTGATTTCCCTCTTTCCTGTTCACTTTCTTTCTTTCTTAACATTTTTTAAATCACAATTGTCTATTTTTGCTCATTTAAAATATATTTTAAAACATTTTCTAAATGCTTTTTTATATTTTTACATTTTTTGTTTTTGTGAAGCGCCTTGTGATTTTTATCTTGAGAGGCGCTATAGAAATTATACTTTCTTCTTCTTCTTCAGAGTTTAACTGAAATAAGTTATCTTCTAGCGAGCTGGTGATAGCGGATAGACACTAGTAATTCAGACAGTTTATAGAACTCAGAATCCTTAAAGGAGCAGTACAGCTGAATATCATCTGCATATAGGTGATAAGAGTCATTATGAAAAGAATCAAGTATCTGTCCAAGAGGGTGTGTGTACAGCAGAAACAACAGTGGACCCAAAACAGAGCCTTGGGGTACCCCACAAAACAGATCAGTACAATCTGACATGATTTGGTTTATAGAGACACTGTAACTTCTGTTAGAAAGGTACGATCTAAACCAGTCTAGAACAGTTCCAGAGATCCCCACCGAGTCACTAAGTCTGTTAATTAAGGTGCCGTGATCAACAGTGTCGAAAGCTGCAGAAAGATCAAATAATACTAACACTGTGAATTCCCTGTTGTCTGCAGCCATCATGATGTCACTGGAAACTTTAAGCAAAGCTGTTTCTGTTGAATGCTTTTTACGAAAACCAGACTGGAATTTATTAAAACTGTTGTGTAGTTCCAGAAAAGTAATCAGCTGATCTGCCACAACCTTTTATTTTAGAGATAAAGGGTAATTTAGAAATGGGTCTGTAATTTTTAGGCTGAGATGAGTCCAAACTTGTTTTTTTAAGGATAGGTTCAACAACTGCATGTTTGAAAACAGATGGTACACAGCCAGATTGTAGAGATAAATTAATAAAATCTACAATGCATGGGCCAATTTGGTCAAACATCCTGATTAACAAGGTAGTAAGAATGAAATCAGCAGGGCATGAGGTTGGTTTCATGTGTTTCTAAATGAAGCAAATGTCCTGGAAATCTACAGGTGTAAAGACAGACCATGAGTACGTTTACATGCAGCCAATATCCGGGTTATGATCGGGTTAAGGTCGGTATTCGGGTTTCTGAGTTGATCAGAATAACCCGTTTACAAGCATAAATAGAAAGAGTTACCTCTAACTTGCATAACCCGACTTAAATGCGGACGTTGGGGTAGCGTCAGGATGTATGGACTACGTCCAGATGCAATATGCGTCATTTCCGGTTCTTCTTGTTCCAGTATCCGTGAAAACAACATGTTTCCCAGTTCGTAAGGGATAGCGACCGCGTTTCTTTGCGCTTTAGTTTCTTCGTCACTTCAAAAGTGTGGTGCTGTGCCGCGACTCGCCATTTTGCTCCCAACTTGTTGTTTACTTCCGGGTTTCTGGCGCATACAAGACGTCTCGCTACTCAAAAGACCAAGATTCCTTGCGAACAGAGCACGCGCAGAACACGCGCTTTGATGGGGATATCACGATATGCGTTTACACGACCAAGCATTCGGGTTAGAAAAGGGTTACCCCAGGTGTAGTAACTGGGTTTCTAAAAGTCCGGTTATGAGCATATCCAGGTTTTTGGCGGTGTTTACAAGGACCTGCAGAACCGGGTTATTGTGAATATTCGGGTTTTTAAAGGGTTACTGGCTGCATGTAAACGCACTGCATGACTGGTAGAAAGCTGGGCGGGTCTGGGTGGGGGCCTGGGGGCTCGGGGTGTGGGGGTGGCCGGACCTGTGGAGGGATCTGGGTGGGGCCTTGAGGGTCGGGTCCTGACATGTATGCTGCCGGGGAGAAGGCAGGAACATGCAGCAGTGCCTGACTCAGGTTCAGGGGCTTCGGGTAGACCTTGACTCCTCTGCTGTCCCATCACAGGGGAGGGGGAAGTCCAGGAGGGGGAGGACCCAACCTTACCTGGATGTCCTATGTCTTTTATAGTCCGGAAGTTGTGCAAATGCAGGGATGGGTGTAGATATTCTGCTGGGGTGGGGCTGGGTTGGTGCCCTCGGACTCCATGAGGCTCTGCAATGCTGCCCTGGCAGGATGGGCTGGGGTCTCCATGCCCTGGATGGCATTTTGACAACAGAGGTGCCTATTGGGGCCAGTGGGGGAGCTGGCTCCCTGGAGGGCTAAGCCCAACCAGCCATTCCTCCCCATCCCCACACATTTCTCTCCTCCTGCTCCCTCACATCATCACACAAACATGCACATAGGACCTTGGAGGGTGGACAAGTCAGGGAGTGCGTGTATGGACCCCGTTTCCGCGTTTCTGTGGCAACCTGCACCCCCAATTTTATCTGCACCATATACACTTCCACCGACGACATTCCATGCAAACACACACTTAGGGCCTTGGGAGTGAGCAGATCCAACGGCATTGGGCAGGGGGATTTCTCAACCTCATCCCAAGTGCTGGTGCCCACTTCCAATTTTAAACTGCACTTAGACACTGAGGGATGTGGGTGCAAGTGGGGTATCCTCAAAGAATGCTAGAAAGTTGTCACAGTCAGACCTTGAGTAGACTGGCATTGTGGTGAAACAATCTGGTTTATGGTGTCAATCAGCTGAGCAAAGTAAGTGGCCCTGGAATTTTTCACCATCTCATTCAGAGATATTGTCAGTTCTAGCTACCGCTACACTTCGCCTAGATTTCTAGGTTAAACCTGGATCTCACCCATCTGCTGTTTAACTTAAACAGATACTCCATGTTAGTCCGACTCACCTTATCCATGTGGAAAATGAGGTCCAGTTCACAAACATTTTCAAAGCATTTATCCAGCGTCTCCACAAACACCTGAGACAAAGACAAGGGTGGTAATTGTTCCTCAGGATGTTTAAGGTCTGCTACGGCACAGTGGCGACATCAGGACAAAGATAATACAACTGTGATTGTTCTTCTCAATCATCTAGGCTGGATTACTTCACAGATCTGATTTCCTAAATAAAAACATCCAGCATAGAGGTGAAAGGTCAAAAGTGACCAAAAGGGATGAATAGCTCATTTAGCAGCAGAGCAGACATCTACCTTTTTGTAGCTAGAGTGAAAGACAATGGTTACACGAAACTCTGGGTACTTTACACAGCAATTCTAAACAAACCTGAATCAGGTCCAAAATGCCCAGCTCACTCTCAGACGAGTCCACACAGAAGACAAAGTAGAGCGTGGCGTAGTGCCTGTAGATCAGCTTGTAGTCTGAGCCGCCAATGAGACTGCAAACAGATTCAGAAACACTTTAGTAGAAAACACAGAGCCAGCTTTTGTTGTCAAGTTTTCTTAAAGGAAAAGCAGACAAAGAAATGCTGTTTTGTAATAATTATCTCATGGTTCTGTGGAAGCTTTGTTTCTGCTTCCATCTAGTGTTCATCTGCAGCCAGAGCTGGTCTAACAGGGTCTGCAACCTGAGGCTCCTCAGTCCCTCTGAGGGGGACTCTTGGTAAGTTTGAGGGCTGATATTAATGATTATGTTTATGCAGCAGAATAAGTAAAATGCAGTGTTTGTGTTTTTTAATAGAGTCGTACTATTTCTGATAATTGTTTGCATTTTCCATAATTTCTGTACCGGAGATTTTTATGTGAAATTTTTCATAAAATCATGTTTAACTTTGTAGTTGATAACTTTTAGCCTATTTATTAGGGACTCACTGACTGCTCACAAGAAAATAAATACTGGTAACATATGAGAAAAATTACTGTACTAATGTAAAGTTTAAAAATAAACATATGAGAATACCACAACAAGATGCTGTGGTTATCCCTGTAATGAAAGGAGTAGAAGAGACGAGGACTAACCTAATAAGAGCTTCAGCACTTGAAATACATTCAGGCCTAGTCCACACGTAGCCAGGTTTTTTTTGAAAACGAATATCCGCCCCTCCAAAAACTTGTATCCACACCACCTCGTTTAAAAAAAAAACTGTCCACACGTACCCGGATAAATACGTTGTTAAGGACATGCCAGACCTGTAGGCGGCAGTACTTCCCCCGTTCTTAACTAGGGATGCACCGATCAGGTTTTTTGCTGCCGATCACCGATACCGATATCAAAGAATGCTGCTCACCGATACCGATATCAAAGAATGCTGCTCACCGATACCGATCACCGATACCGATCACGTGGATTGGCCAGAAATTTTCTACAACATTATAATGAGTGCTACAAACTACATAATCTGGGAATAATGGAAATGTAACCTAATCTAAAATGGTCTGTATTAGGGTTGTCACGGTGTGAAAATTTAACCTCACGGTTATTGTGACCAAAATTACCACGGTTTTCGGTAATATCGCCGTATTTTTTTTAAACGTGCTACATTTTCACACAATTAAATAAACCCTGTATGTCAGGAAATATTGTCCTCAGTTTGTGTCTAAATTTTGCCTAAAATGTGTTATTTTGTAATTATGTTGTTTATTTGTTTACATTTTTCCCCTTTAGCCTTTAAAATACCAATATTTGTCCATAACTTCTTATTTTATGTCTGTTTGATGTCATCATTTTAAAAATATTAGATCAGATGATACTCAGTACTCAAGTAGCCTTCTAATCAGATACTTTTTTACCCTTACTTGAGTAATAAACCCTATACCAGGAAAATATTGTCCTCGGTTTGTGTCCTTCCAGTGAGCTTTGCAGATGTGGGAAAATGTCATCAGGCAGTAATCATTGTTAAATTCATAATTATTCTAGGAGAGAGACCAACTCTCATCTGCCCCTGGGAGCCCCGTAATGCATAGCGTCATTTCAACATGGGGGTGTCCGCGACACGGTTTATATGCAGGTAGCGGCGCTGCGGCTGCTTTATATAGCGACTCGTTGCTTTCTCCATCAACCCAAATCCTCGGATCACACATTTTAGCTAAAACGCTAACGTTAACTTGCCTTGCGTTGACTGTAGAGTTGTGGGTGATGGTCACGCAGATGTGTCATGAGATTTGAAGCGTTGCTGCCTTTCACAGACACTTTTTCTGCTCGCGCTGCAAACAGGATAGCCGTCCGTCCGTCTTCTATAAACTCCCTCGGCATTCTTCAAATATCTAAAATATGCCCGTACTTCCGACTTTGTCTTCTTTGAGGGGTAATAAATGTCCTCCTGAGTGCTGCCGTCTCCTCCTTTGACCATTATTTCAGCTTTAGCTTCAAGAAAGTTTTGTTGTAAACAAAGCGTGCATGTGCCGCCGGCAACTTCAGTCGATGATACGGTGGCTGGTAAGGGTCACCGCAGCCACGGTAATCCACCAAGATAATATAGTTTTTTAAAAAACAAGATGGTTATTATTATTGTCAACTTTTTTTTTTTTACCAGGGTTTACCGCTACACTGGTTACCGTGACAACCCTACCGGTTTGCTTTGATCTATTTTGAAAATTCCGATCAAAACCGATAGGGGCGCTATCGGCCGATTACGATCAAATGCCGATCCATCGGTGCATCCCTATTCTTAACCTCGTCCTTCGTCTGTGGTCTTCCGCAAGGAGCAGTAATTCCGCTTGCAAAAACAAACAAGCAAAAAGCGCTTGGACAATTGATAAAGCGAGCGCAGCTCTGAGGGCATCCATGCTGTCGGCTAGTGTAAACACAGGTCGCACACGTGATGTCAGCATTTTTTTGTCGCGGAAAGTGACGTTGCGAACCTTAAAACTCTGGTTTTGTCCGTCCACACGCAGACACCCAAAACGGAGAAAATGCAGATCTTCACTTTGGCCGGAGTTTTTAAAAAAGATCCGTTTTCGTGTGAAAAAACTCCTTTTTTGTGTGGATGACAGGCCAAAACGTAGACAAATATCTACGTTTTGGCAGATCCCCGGCCGCGTGTGGACAGGGCCTCAGATAATTTCACAACAAATACATGCTACATGTTTGGTGTTTCTCTGCTCAAACACACCTGACTTTAATCAGTAGGTGATTAACAGGCTTCTGCAGAGCCTGGTGAGCTGCTGAAGAAGTGATTGAACTAATCAGGTAAGTTGGAGCATAGGCCCAATCCCAATAATCGCACTTCCACCCTCACACCCCTTCAATTGCGCGTTCCAGCCTAGGTGTGCGAGTGTGTAAGTTGTCCCGATCCTCAAGTACAGAAAATGACCACGCCCTTTAATTGATGTGGACTGTGGACTGGAGCTGAGCCCAAGCTGACAGAGCTACACATTTTGGTTATTTTCCAGGATTTATTCTCACAATACATAGCACTGCTAGACAATAATGGCTGTGGCTGTTTGTCTGCAGCACTGTGGGTGAGTGAGGGAGGGAGAGAGAGAAAGAGGTCTCCAGCAGCAGAACGGAGCTCAGCATAACAACGCTGACTTCTATTTCTGCGTCAGCTCGAGTGTGGCATTGCGCACTTTAGTACAGTTTCTGATGGCACCTGGTCATTCAAACGAGCATGTCCAACATTTCAGAGTTAGAGCCTTACATTTGAAAGCTGTTTTACCTTCAGTTTTCCTCCTTGCACTGAGTAGAACAAGAAGATGTTTTATATAAAGCACCTCTCTAGATAAAAATCACAAGCACATTAAAAACTAATGGGAGAGATAAAAATGATTAGCTTTAAGATGTTTTATTGTATGACTATTTATTATATATTATATAAAATGATAGGGCTGCACTGGGGCGCAGTGGCTAATGTTGTTTCCTTGCAGCAAGTAGGTGCTGGGTTCAAATCCCAACCTGGGGTCTTTCTGCATGGACTCTGCATGTTCTCCCTGTGCATGCGTGGTTTCTCTCCGGGTGCGACCAGGTTCCTCCTACAGTCCAAAAGCATGACTGCTAGGTTGTTTGGTCTCTCTAAATTGTCATTAGGTGTGTGTGTGTGTGTGTGTGTGTGTGTGTGTGTGTGTGTGTGTGTGTGTGTGTGTGTGTGTGTGTGTGTGTGTGTGTGTGTGTGCGTGTGCGTGTGTGTGTCTGGCAACCTGTCCAACATGTACCTCGCATGCTTGTCCGAAGACAGCCGGAGATAGGCACCAGCCCTCGCGTGAGTACGCAGGTTTAGACAATGGATGGATATAAAAATATATATTATTCTATATCATGAATAATCTGCTGAACCTGGACTTGAAGAAAACTGTGAACTGAAATAAATTTCTCCTAGAAAATTCGCAATTCAATCTTTTCCTAAAATCGTTCAGCCCTACTCTGAATGTTTTAAACTACGGCCGCCACCATGATTAGTCGACTTGTCACAATGACGTCGACAAACAAAATAGATTACTATTTATTTAATAGTCGATGCGTCGTTTATTTAATAAACATTTTTTTAATCTCGCCTGCTGCAGCACAGTTGCTTCCAGCCTCTCTGCTCAGCCGCCGCTTTAGCTCCGAGGCACATGCGCAGTGGTGGTCATCCAGCTCAGCCTTCGTCACCGGAGAAATAAAATATGGCGAGTCGGCAACATACTTCAAAAGTTTGGGAGCATTATACGAAGACAAAAGAAAGGACTGTAGAGTGCAAATTCTGCAGAGTGAAACTCCCCTTTTACGGGAGCACACTGGCGATGCACGAACATCTTATGAGGAAGCACGTCATGGTGGAGAACAAAGAGTTGCCTCGGTAAGTTTACCACTTGTTAGCTGCTAACATAGCGGTAGCGACACCAGTAGTGGTGGCAATTTCATTACCTTTAATTATGTTCACATATTTTTGCTCTAATTACAAACACTGATGATTTATTTGATCCAGCTACATTACAATAGTACTAAAAGTGCTTTTCTTCAGCGGACGAGTTTGTTACGTGCACACCTCAGCAAGCCAACGTCCTGACCGAGGCCATTGTGAGCATGCTGGTCACCAGACTCCTGTCCATGGTCGATATAAAGGTTTCAAAGAGATGATCAACCAGTTCAACCCAGGTTACCATGACAACTACCTACCAGACTGATCCCATTTTACCACCATGATGGAGAGGGAGAAATTATGACACGTCTCTAAATAAAGTAAATTTTTCTAGTGCAGAGTGGAGACAACCCATAGAAGCACCGATTTGATCTCATTTCAGAGAAAAATAGAACAGGTCAGATGCACCTAATAAATAAAATTACTAACAAACTCAGGAATCTTTCTTTGCTTCATTGTTCTGGTGCTGAGAATATCACTAATGCGGATCAAAGGAGATACACGGATGAATGCACCTCTTATTTATTATTTGTAAACTACATTTACTGCAGCTGGCAGAGGCAGAGATTTTTTCTATTGATACACAGAATTTACAGAATCATTTTAAATGTTAACAGGGGAAGACTGCAGGAGGGAGCGGTAAAATACAGGGGGTCCCCAGCAAAAACAAGAAACTACGAGTCTGATGAAACCCGCTGGTTTTCCATCAGGCAGCAAGCCCCCACAATGCGGCTCAAAAATTGAGGCCAACCCGGAAGTACCAAAAATTGCAGTTCCACCTTCATCTGCTGGGGGCTGGTATCAGAAACGAGCAAATCCTCATTGACTCCCATGTTAAAATACCAATTTCACAGCAGAAATAAACATGTTTACAGCCTGGTACCAAAACATGTTTTTGGCTTAAATGATCTAGTTTACACTCATGACAACTCTGAGGGGGGTGAATTTTTTTTCTCACTCTTCTGTTTAAGTGTATTTAAAGCCTAAAATTCTGTATAATTAATGAGCATCAGACCCAAGTGACCACAGAGCTAGCTCCGTGGAAAGGCCTCAGTAGAGCCTCGGTCTGGCTTGGAAACTGCTCCGGGATTTTGAGTCTCTGTGTGTGTGTATTCTTTTTTGGATATTTTTTGTGCAAATGTTGGACAAAATGACTTGCTGTGGCATTAATTGCACTAATAGAGCATCTAAGGAGTCTCCACTTCATTTTTTTCGGTAAGTAAAATTATATTTATGTATTTTAGGTCACTGCCGAGCTGAGCTTAGATTTTAACATGTACTGTTTAACCATGAAATTTAAATGTAATAGGGTAAAACCCAGTGCATTTAACATAATGCTGCACTTTAGAAAATGGGTTGAAATATAACATGTTGGTGGAGCTGGGTTCCGACTATCGGCTTGTGGAGCTCTCGGGGGACCGATGTTTTCCACCCAGATCTCCCCTCCCCGCAGCTCGGTGCATCTCTGTTTGATGCGCGGGCTGTCGGCTTGTGGAGCTCTGGGATGGAAACCTTTCCACCCGGTTCTCCCCAGCGGCAGCTCTGCGCATCTCAGATCGCAGCGGCGCTTGTCTGCTGTGCAGCTGCCGGCTTGTGGAGGTCTCCGAGAACTCTGTGTTCCACCCGGTTTTACCCAGCGGTCAGCCCGGCGTATCTCTGACTCAGAAGCTCTGGTGTTGTGCACAGTTAACTCCGGTTGTAGCTAGGTTGCTACCTCCGTTAGCTTAGCTCCCACCTCAGCATTAGCTTTGGGTTAGCTTGTAGCTAGTTCGACCGGGTATCTTCAGTTGATCCCAGCCTTACAGCCCCACCCTCAGCTCCTCCTCTCTTCCCTTTTGTGGAATTGTCTGGGCTTGACGGAACCTGTGACACGGTCAAAATGGCGGTGGTGGCCACCTCCCATTTGGCCTCAAAAACGTGTTATTGGAGTCTATGGAAACCCATTGTCCAATATTTATATGTCAATGTCAGGCAGTCACGGAGCAGCTCCAACGACCCAGTGGCTGAGCTGGGTCAATGTTATCGAGCTCAGTCCGGCTCGGCAGAGGGTGAACGAGCCGAGGCGACGTCGTGCTCTGCTTAAGAAGAAGTGTTATTTTCCCGCTTCTGAAGAAGCGTCCAACGTGTTTTTACGCTTTCTCCGAGACATGTCACGTCGCTAAGTTGTTAGCGCGCAGCGTAGCCTGCTGGAGTTTTTAAGGGTTCAGATGAAACACCCGACCTCTCATGCTGCTCACACATCGATCTTAAGTTGTCGCTGTTGCGCTCACGCCATAATACAGTATTAGATGCGGTTAAAGTCAGACATGAAAAAATAAATAAATTTTACATGAATAAGTGATGCTTAGCCTGGTGGGGGGAGGAAAACCTGGCCTAATAAGCACTGGAGGAAACCCTGTCAAGATCGTCAACACTCGTTTATCTTAATGCTATTGAAACATAATTTTCAACTCAGTAACTTATGCTGTAACTTCACCTTGCCCTGCCTACTCCTCCTTGCTGCCTGCCGACTGTGATCACAAGCGACAACATAGTAGTTCCTACTGCTTCTTCGGGAAACGGTGCAAAAAAAAAAAAAAAAAAAAAACTTGGGATCTTGTAGGTGTGGCGGTGGGATTTCAGCCGTAGCGGGCCAGCCACGGCTACGCCTATGTAAGGGAAACCCTGTTAGTCAACTATTAAAATAGTTGTTTGTGGCAGCCCTATTTTAAACTAAGATTTAACGTGGACAGCAAAGAATGTAAATTTTGTCAATTGTTTGTTTGAAAGTTGTTAAAAGATTTCTTTTAAAGTAGCACAGGCAGCGACCGGCATCCTGGCAATGAACACTGTCCCAATTCGGCAATTATTTGCACACTTGTGTAACGTATTCACCAACATAACGACCTGAAGCCTCACTCTACACTTCCTCCTAGTGCACTTTGCTGAAGACCTCAGGGTGCAGTGCAAGTATTGGGCTATAGAAACACCTAAAACATGCTGGATGGGTAATCTGTAGGACCAGGGCAGGAGAGCACTGAGCTCAGCAGTGCTCTCCTGGTCGCCTAAAAAACCACCTCCTCCGCTTGGCATTCCCTGAATGTGTTTGAGTTAAGACTTCATTCATGTTGATTTTAATTCCCTGCTTTCATTGGTCTCTTGTTTTTGCCCATTTGTTATCTACTTTAATGTTTTTACCTTTTGGGTCACAGAAGGCGCTTTATAAATAAAGCTTTGATTGATTTAGCAGTTGCTCTCCGTCCTTTTGCCTGAATAAAAATAATATTTTAATATTTAATTATTGAACCTGTAGTATACGCTGTAAATATAAACAGACGTGACACTCTAATATCTTAATTCTAATTATCTATATGAATTTTGGCTCAAACTCTAGGAGAGATGGTAAAATATATTTTAATAATTGAAGCGCCTTGGTCTAATTCCAAAAACTGCTAGAGAAAGATCATCTTTGACCCTCTTCAGTGATGTAAAACCCCTAAAACAAGTCAAATATTGTCCCCATGACACGTTTCCTTCCCAACACTGGTGACATTAAAACGGTGCTTACCTTCCACCCTCCAAGAAGTTGCAGACATTGTCATCTCTCTTAGACACCAGATGGAAAGTCTCACGGATGATCTGTTGCTGCATGTCCTCCGCCTGCAAGACGTAGGAGTCATGTTTACAACCCAGGAAATAATGCACTTTTGTATAGATGAATAAGTCCTAGTTTGGATTTAATTACTACAACGATCTCTGTTACTTTCATAACACCAAACTCATACTGAAGTGAAGGCTTTTAGGGGAACACATCACTGTACTACCTGTATCTCTGTTGCTGTTCGCTATTGGGCCAGCAACGTAACCAAATACTCACAAAATATTGGTAGAATCTGATCAGCCGCGGCTTCCCGTGGTTGTTAAAAATCAATATAGCTTTAATCATGTTGACTCCGCCGAAAACACACACCAGCGCTGAATTAGTTTCAAATAAAAAACAGACTAGCCAACAGCGTTAGCATGAGTGCTAAATGTATGAGCTCGTTGATGACGTACTTCCGATGGAGTCTGAAGGGGCTTTCGCCACCTTCTGGACCGGAGCTGGGTAAATCTTTCTTCTCTTCTATTCTGAAATTGTAGGGATTTTTTTTTTCTGTTACACGTTTTAACAAATTTAAGACGTCCGACCGTGACCGATTTTGGCCGTGGACACCACGTTGCCGTCGTGACAATGTTGGCTGGGCTGCTACTTCCAAAAACGTCCAGCAGAAGACAGGATCTGGTTTAGTAAGGCACACAATTAATTATATTACATTTACATTATATTTACAAAGAAGGTGTCATGACCAAAGTCCAAGCCTCAAAGTAACAAACAGGGGCTCTATTTAGAGGCTACAATTCCAGCTTTAAGAAAACCACTTCAAAATTTTGCATGCAATTTATCCATCCAATGATTATTTACACAAGAAGTTCAATATTGATATAAATGCATGCACTTTCTGCAATAATGATGTTGAAACAGCAGAACACCTTTTCTATTGATGTGATAACTGTAAAATCAGATAAGTTAAGCTAACTCAAATTATTTGGGGAAACCGATTGCACAAATTGATTTAAGTTTTGTCACTCAAACTATTTGAGTTTATTTAATTATGCGAGTAGAGTCTAATTAATTCAATACAATTATGATAAGTTAACTCAAATGGTTATGTTTATCAACTATTTTTATTCAGTATAGTCAACTTAAACCTTTAAATATGTGGCACTAAAATGCCGTATATATTTTAACTTATTTAAAATACATTCCTCTTTCATAATCCGACTGAGTTAAAGTAACTTGAATGGTTCTTAGTTGAATAACTAAAGTTACTCAATTCAACTGAGGAAACCGATTGCACCACACCTTATTAGTAGTATTAACACAACAAACTCAGACTTTCTCCATTCAGTTTTATTAACTTGAACTGCAGAAAAACAGAATGATTACAACTGCACATTTTTTCAAATTTGCTAAATGCTTTTTTACACTGTGTGTACATTAAATGTTGCGTGAGAATAATTCCAGTATTTTTAGTTGCCATTAACCATCATGACCTGAATTTTAATTAAGAATATCCAGATTTATTGACATGCACCTAACGAAAATGCAAACAAAGCTTAACTACAATGATGTCATCAGCCATTATAAACACATACTGTAGGAATACAATATTAAATTTCAACGCTGTTATTGTACAACAGTTTGCTTAAAGATTAGTGTCTCCTCAACTGCTGTGGCCAAACCTCAATGGCAAAATGTCATTGAGATCACTAACGACCTACTCATTGCTGCTGATTCTGGTTTAATCTCTATTCTCATTCTCCTCGATCTGAGTGCGGCCTTTGACACCATTTCTCATCCCATCCTCCTCAATAGACTCTCTTCCTTAGGCATCACTCACACACCCCTCCGCTGGTTTCAATCTTACCTTACTGGCCGCACTCAGTTCATCCAGTTAAAATCCTTTACCTCAGAACCCTCCCCAGTCAAGTCAGGTGTGCCCCAGGGCTCTGTCCTGGGGCCCCTCCTCTTCATAGTATATCTCCTCCCTATCGGCAAAATCTTCCGCAAATTCAATATCCAGTTTCACTGCTTTGCGGATGACACCCAGCTCTACATTTCCAGTAAGCCCAACTCAACTCTCCCACCATCCTCCCTTACACTCTGCCTCTCTGAAATCAAATCATGGTTCACCTCTAATTTCCTCAAACTCAACGGCAATAAAACTGAACTTCTTCTAGTTGGCACTAAATCCACCCTCTCAAAATCTGACAGCTTTTCTTTAACTATTGACAGCGCCATAGTCTCCCCCTCCCCTCACGTCAAGAGTCTGAGTGTCATTCTCGACAGCTCACTTTCTTTTCAAGCTCACATTAATAACATAATTCGGTCAGCATACTTCCATCTACGTTCTATAAACCGTCTCCGCCCCTCACTGACCCCTCAGACTGCCGCCATTCTCGTCCACAGCCTCGTCACCTCCCGTATCGACTATTGCAAATCACTTCTTTATGGTCTCCCCAACAAACTCCTTCATAAATTGCAACTGGTCCAGAATTCAGCAGCCCGTATTATCACCAGAACCCCTTCCTTTGACCACATCACCCCGGTTCTCCAGCAGCTTCACTGGATCCAGGTTAAATTCAGGTCCATCTTCAAAATTCTCCTCCATACCTTCAAAGCAATCCACAACCTCTCTCCTCCATATATCTCAGACCTTATAAGTATTCACACCCCATCCCGTTCACTCAGATCTTTTTCTTCCATCCATCTTGCGGTTCCTTCTGCCCGTCTCGCTACCATGGGGAGCAGAGCTTTCAGCCGCTCTGCTCCTCGTCTCTGGAACTCACTTCCCCCAGACATCAGGAACATCGACAGTTTTACCCTTTTCAAAACAAAACTCAAAACACATATGTTTCAATCTGCCTACAACCTCTGATTTTATTGAACTGTTTCTCTCTCTTTTTTTTTTTCTTGTTTGGGTTTTATTATTGTTTTATTGTATTTTACTACGTGTTTTCTGTCAAGTGACCTTGGGTGTTCTGAAAGGCGCTTTTAAATAAAATGTATTATATTATTATTATTAAAATGGAAAGATGTCATTTGACAATAAAACATAGTGATTACAAATGTCAATTTGGACTGATCATCAGTTATTTAACTTTGAAACTTGCTGACATGAACCTAAATACAAATATATCATAGAGGAACAATGACAAGTGTTCATGAATATTGTAAGAATGCAATAGATGAAGTCAATATAAACATATGTAAAAAAAAATCTTCAAAGATACTTGTGGCCTCCCAGTTTACCTTAAAAGTGTATCACAAAAGTGTCAAGTACAGTGATCCCTCGCTACTTCGCGGTTCGCTTATCGCGGATTCACGACTTCGCGGATTATTTCTTTGGAGCCTTATTCAAGGGAAATTCGCCGATTCGCAGCATTTTTCACCAATTTGCGGTATTTTCCTATGCGAAATATCAAGAAATTCCAGTTTTTTTTTCATCAATTTCATCATAAAATGCACTTTTTGTAATAAAACTATAAAAAAAACAAGTAAAAATACAGTACTATGTAAAGGGAGGGTTTTAAAAGTCTGAATATTGAATACGTTCCTGTTAAATAAATACTGTAAATATGGTGTCCCTACTTCACAGATTTTCACCTATCGCGGCCAGGTCTGGAACGCATCTACCGCAATAAACCAGGGGGTCACCTGTATTTGAAATGTTTCTTTATTAGCTTTCCGCATATTGCTGTTTTAGAAGGCTGAGAACATGGACATATAAAACTATTGACTTGAAGCCATTTAAATATTAATGAACAAGCAAGAACATGTGAAAAACAAACCCCATCTACACCAGCTCATTTTTCAGTGTCTGCAATTTTGGTTTGAGTTGCTTTCTCTCATCGTCTAGCTTCAGCAACACTACTTGAATGAACTCAAAAAAGCTACTACACTTCACAGGATAGCTGAGATGCTGAGCATATATTAGCCCAAACAAACACACCAAAGCATCAGTCCATCTGTAATGAGTCATTGCAACCTGATCTTCAAGAACAATGAACACTTGGCGTGGTGAGAAAGGAACTCCAGCAGGCACATCCTCTTCATCCACATCAGCAACCAGCACAAGTGCAGCTTCATGGAACTCCATTTCATCCTGTCACACATCAAAATTATTGATGAGAAATATTTATGTCATAGATATAAAGGTCAACACAAATACAAATAGCCAGATACCTTAATTTTTTTCAAATTGTATGTATTACCACTTTTTTGTAATTTCAATAGGAAAATTATTGCAATTCCCAAGTATAACATACCTTGCATGTTTTCAAAATACCTGACGAGTCCTCCTTGAGGTAAATCGGCAGGCCAGCCAGGCTGCTGTTCTTGTTGTGCAGATGTCATTCTTGTTCTTAAAGGGCAAAAAATATATAAAACGTGACAAATGGGACTACCATGCAAACAGTAGAGTGAAAGTATTTTTACGTACCTGTTGCTCATATTCCAACAACAGCTGGTCCATGTTTTCACCAACCCATCCAGTTTTCTTCTTTTTGTAAAGTCCAATCAGCCGAGGAGCATATTCATCCAGTGCAGCATAAAAAACGTGGTAGATGAAGATTGGTAATCCGGTGAAATTCAGGGTAGAGCTGAAGAGAATAAACCAAAAATGACATGAAAAAAAAATGCTGTATACTTTATAAGCAGTAAATTTAATATAGTTGTACTTACCTGTGTCTCATTAAAGAGAGCTGGCCATCTGTCCTTAAGCTCTGATACAGGAAGAGAAGATGCAATGATCTCTTCACGTCTCAGGGAAAAAGTGTGCATCATGTGCTGATGAATGAGTGGAATGTCCCTTTCAGTAGAGGTCTTCCGGAACTCTTCTATCATCTCAGCCCTCCTTTTCTGCAGAGACTCTCTTGTTTCTCCAGAAGGACAACTGGGAAGGAAGTTGACCTCACCTCTCTTAGGTCTTTTAATATTGGCCCTTGGTGCAGCTCCTTCTGGGTTTGTTCTGCTGCGCTTTCCAGAGTTTACAGCAACATCTCTGATGCCAGCTTTGGCCAACTTCTTTCTTTGGTTTCCAATTTTGTGTCTCAAACTATTCTTCCATCCTTCCCAACCAGTGTCAGAATTGTTCTCCTTCAGACAGGGATGCTTTTCGACTAAAGCTTTTGCAGCCTTTCCAATCTGTGTGCTACTAGGATATGCCTTCAGTTGAAAGATTTCTTCCCCCATTACCTCGAGTATGTTGTGTTTTTGATCTCTAGGAAGTCTAATTAGTTCCCCATCTTTTTCAAATGCTGCATTACCTTCCTTTAGCACATGTTCCACCTCATAAGAAAATTTTGGAACAACAAAAACCTCTGGCCACCCACTAATACGCTCTGGTGAATCTATGGCATCAGTGCTATCATTCAGAAGACTTGTCTCACTAGTGCTGGTTGAAATCAAGTCCAGCTCCACTAATCTGATTACTTTAACCGATGCTGTGCTTGGGAGGTGTTCCATTTCAACCAAATTACACAATGCATGATCAAAATCTGGATCTTCAAACTGAAGCCTAAAGTCAAAAGTCAACTTTAGCCTAGTTTTGATTTCATCAATGAGGGCCTGTACACTGCTTGGGCGAGATGGCAGAATAAGTCTTTCAGCATTATCATTATCAAGGATGACCCTTAGCTTCAGTCTCTCTGTTGCCTCCATCTGAAGTTGTAGGTCCTGTAACATACAGGATTCAAATAATATAGCGACATTTCAACACACCCAAGAGTTCTCATATCATGTATGCATTACCTGTACACTGGCAGAAGGGCTGGGGAGATCTGCTGATATTTCAGTTCTGTTTCTTTAGTCAGACACTGGAATGAAATGTTTTGTTGTTAGAATGAGTTCATTTGCAATCTTATAAGCAAAATGTGGCAGGTGGTCAGACAGCTGGCACACAGATTTGACACTATGACTCTTCGGTATATGCTCGACTAGTTCGTATGACCTCAAGTGCTCAACATACAAAGTGTCGTAGTCTTTTAAGAGAAAATACATTTTGTCGCTGATGAGTAGGATGTTTCGAATCTCTTTGAACTCTGGCAAGGCTAAATAAGCACCAGTACATACAAACATGCCAATTGCAAAGCTTGTGCCATCAATTGAGATGTTTTTTGTTCCATAAACTGTGTCACTGTCAAAAATACCTGATAAATGATTGTGTATCTGCACTTAGTCAGTGCGTTTACATGCAGCCAGTAACCCTTTTAAAACCCGAATATTCGCAATAACCCGGTTCCGCACGGCCATGTAAACACCGCCAAAAACCCGGATATGCTCATAACCGGGTTTTTAAAAACCCGGTTACTACACCTGGGGTAACCCTTTTCTAACCCGAATGTGTGGTCGTGTAAACACATATCGGGATATCCCCATCAAAGCGTGTGTTCTGCGCATGCTCTGTTCGCAAGTAATCTTGGTCTTTTGAGTAGCGAGACGTCTTGTATGCGCCAGAATACCGGAAGTAAACAAGTTGGGAGCAACATGGCGAGTCGCAGCCGGCACAGCACCACACTTTTGGAGTGACAAGGAAACCTCTGTGTTCATCGGTCTGGTTCATCTTGAAGGAGAGGATGATGATGATGTTATGGATGAAAACACAGGTAAGTCACATGACTTTCTCAATCCAATACGTATACCAACAAAGGGTTTCGCTCTTGGAGGTAGATACATGCGTCGACCCATCTGTGTTTAACCTATAAGTAACATCTTTTTTAACATCAAGCTGTAACATTTTGCTTGTTTTTATTTCTGGCCAGATGCAGATATTAGAGAAGGTGGACCTTCAATGACTGTGCCTTGCCAGTCTACACAGCCATCAAATCCCACTGCAGCTACTCCTGGTGAGCTTGCTAAATACTGTTACTAAAGGTTATAGCATATTGTAACCCCAGGTCACTCCTCCTCCTTGTGTAATGTCTGAAAATAGTACCTTTCTTTAGTGGATAATTTGATTACAGTGATTATGAGATATTATGTAATATAACCGTTGACCCAAACTAAGGACTATTGTCACTTTTGCATTCTTAGTAAACTCAGAATTGTAGGAAGATATTTGTTTATGACGAAGGAGCAGGTGACATTCTGACACATCACCTAAAGGTAAAGAAACATCTTCTAGAATCCACAAGTTTCATAAGAATGCAAAAAGTGATAATAGTCGAACACTAAGAGAGAACTTACCCAACACTTTCTAAGGCCTGTCATGTCTGCTCTAGATGGGTCAAGTCGCAGGTCCAGGCACCGTGGAGCCGCTTCACTTACTCAACATCAACAGTTCATGGAGAGAATGCAGCACACGCAGAAGCAATGGTTTGAGCAGCAAAGGCAGTTGAGACATGCCAGTGATGAGGCACTCATGTCTCAAATGATTTCTGAATCAACCTCACATTTAAAAAGCAAAACCAAAATGTTATTTTGTTATGTGCTTTATTAAAGAACAAATGTTTTATTAAACTCACTAGAAAACTTGTATGTGTTGACATTTTATTTGAACATTGCATATACCTGTTCTTTTTCAGAGGTGCACAGCAACAAAGGAGAAGGCAGATAAACATCTTTTAAAACTCAGAAAATAAAGCGTTTTGAAAAATATCGAGCTTACAGTTTAAAGTTGTTTGTTTCCTATCAGAGCCGTTCGTCCTGCACACTCACGCTCTTACTAAGCGCTTACGGAGTGGGACACGTGCAGCAAGGTAATCTGTTAGGGCCCGTCTGATAGCTGAGGCTGCACTGTTATCAGCCCTATTGACCTGTGACACAGGCTGTGGAAACAGCCTTTCTACTGATGTGGCCTCCTCTGCCCATCTGGGATTAACATGCTCCTTCTCCATCTCACAAAATTTGTGTAGAGCACAACAGGTTGCTACCACGTATGGTGTGAAAGTGAAATGGAAGTCACTGCGCTTCAACAGAATACAGAAACGAGATTTCAGTCGACCAAATGCTATCTCTATACTTGTTCTAGCAGAACTCAAATAGACGTAGAAGCTTTCCTCTTGTGGTGTCAGTCTTGGGGACTGCAGATAGCCCTTCATTAGCCAGGGCATCAGTGGGTACGCAGGATCTCCCAGCAGGAAGAAATCCACATCCTGCCCCTCGATCTGCACTGCTCTCTAAAGTGGGACAGATAGAAATATTATTCTTCCTAAATTATGTCATAATACATCTTAGATATGTGGCAGGTATGCAACTTGCATTTAAATACCAAAAGTTTTAATGCATTACCCACCTTTGGGAAGGATTGTGCATTGTTGAACAGATTGGACTGGCGGAGTGCATTGGCGTCATGTGCTGAACCAGGCATGTTGCAGCTCACACTCCAAAAACTATGGAAAATGTATCACAGTGAATCAAGATGTAGTGGGAGCGGTGTGATTAGTGGCAAAAAGTTAGGAAAATTATTTCAGGTCAGTAATGATATAATTATTTGTACATATAAGCTGTTGAGGTTTTTTTGAACAGAGAACCTCTCAATTGATGTTTGTGAGTGGTTCCAATATAGCTTAGTGATGTGTGGCTGTCAACATTATATACAAATCATAATCATGAATACAAAAGCTGGGAATGGCAAAACACCTACCAGTATTTGTCATCACAGACTCACTGGAGGGCATAGGATGGCCATCCCTTCCTGTTTATGAAGTCTCTGTAGCCATCACTTGGAGGCAAGCAAGGGATGTGGCTCCCATCCACACAACCTATGATAAAAAGTAAGAAAAACAAAAAAAGAAAGAAAAAGTATGCACACAGCAGTGTAGCCTACATACATAGTATAGTTCACATTTAGCCTACTCTCAGAAAACTACTGACATTAACAAGACATAAGAGCAGGAAATATTTTACCTATGATTTGAGAAATGGAGTGGGCACGTTCAAATCTTCGTGCAATGCCACATGCCTCCTCCAAAGTGGGTACCCGGATCAGTGTTTTGATGACTTGAGTCGACCATTCCGTGGCAGAATAGGTACACCATCTTCTTCACGGTGCTCTTGTGCACTCCAAATTGGTTTGCTATCAAACGATACTCTGCACAGCTTGCTAGTTTATACAGCACCATGGCAACGCGCATTTCTGTAGGCACTGGTGGTGATGGTTACTACACTGGGCTCCATCACTCTTTCCATCATACCACAAAGTTTAGCAAAAGATTGACGTGACATACGGAAATTCTCACGCCAATCCGTGTCCGTGAACTCCATCATTACAACGCGCTCCCACCAGTCCTGGCTGCGCACCTTCATCCAAAGTGTCCGCGGGGCTCTGGTGGTAACGGGTACCGTCGATATGTTCGATATGTTTAGCGCAGCTCTCTCTATATTTGCAATTTCTTGCTCACGTACTCTCCTTCGAATGAAGGCCAGTACGCACAGTCGTTTTAAGAGCTGCTGGTGGGTCAATACCAGCAATAAATCACAAACAAACGCTCTCGCTATTTCTTCCGAACTGAGAAACATGTTGTTGTTTTCATGGATACCGGAACAAGATGAACTGGAAATGACGCATATTGCGTCTTGATGTCGTCCATACGTCCTGACGCTACCGCAACGTCCGCATTGAAAACGGGTTATGCAAATTAGGGTTAACTCTGGCTTGTAAACGGGTTATTCTGATCAACTCAGAAACCCGAATACCGACCTTAACCCGATCATAACCCGGATATTGGCTGCATGTAAACGTACTCAGTGATGAAATGTACATAGACTCCATTTTGGATGTCTGAACATGTGGTTTGAAAAACTTTGAGGATGACAAATAAAATGCCATCTGACTTTGATGTTGCTCTGCCAACATTTTTAACACATTTTTGTAGTTGTGAGTGTCATGAATAATTTTTTTTTTGAAAACCTTATGCTTTCCTTCAAATCTCATTGTCCAAAGGTGAACCAAGGGACCAAAGCATTTTATCAAGTGCGGGTAATGCTCGATGTAATGATGCTTTGGCTTTAATCGAACATTCGGAAACACTGGAAGAGTTGCCGGTGGTCCAATATTTTACAAGCCAAGTACTGAATGGTCTCTTCATTAAAAATCGGAGACATGGCAAGCTGAACGACATCCTTTAACTCCATTAGCACTTCCCAAAACGTGTCTCTTTCTGGGACTTTTGAGCCAATGAGAAGAGGCAACATTATAAGCAGGGCATTATTTTCATGAGCATTCCCACCAATGGTCCCTCGACTGGCAAAATTAGTGGGTATTGGATGAGGGCGTTCAACTTTATCAGAATGTTGATATGGAAAGTGCAATATTGCTCGGTTTAAGTCTTCTAATGTAAAATATTTACTGGAAATCAAACCTTTTAAGCAATGAGCTATCTCCACTGGAACACCGCGTTCAAACAGGTCGTGCAGGAGGTCAGGTGGGAAGCCTGTGACAGGATGGAAGAATGACAGATGGTCAGAAAGAACACAACTGTTTTTGACACCACAATTTCCCTCACTGCCATCGCTCTGAAGCTCTCGTAAAAGATTGTCATGAAGGTCCTTTGTTCTCAGCACATAATCCCCTGTAACTATATTTTTGTCTGCATTTCTGTTTGTGTGGCATGACAAAACCTGCAGAAATGTGTAGACCTGAAGCTCTCATTGAACCCAGCGAGCCCATGTGCGGCAAGTTTATCTGCCACAACACAGTAGACAGTGCCTTTAAGACATTAACCAAGGGTATCAATGTAGGTGCCTACTTCTTCAAGAGTTTTCAGATCATTTAAGAGTGGTGACATCATTTTCTTAAACCCAAACAGGCGCACATCATTAGAGTTGCACAGGAGAGCAAGCTGAGTGCAGTGGAGAGCAGAACGAGATTTAACTGGAAAGTTTGCCAGAGTCCAATAATCTGCAAAAACTTTATGTATTTTCTTTGAAGTACCGAGTGGGTTTGCAATTTCAAAATCATCCACATAAAGCATTATTTACAGTTTTGTTCCCTCTTGTGAGAGTAGAACGTTTTCCCGGTAGTAGGATCCATCACAAAATGACATGAAATGTCCAGGTATCTCGTTTTTTTCAACAACATTTGCAAAGATGTAAGAATTGACACATACATGTATGTGTGCTTTGATGATTCAATTAAATACGCCACAGGCTTGACATACGGAAAGTTTGCTTCATAGTAAGATTTTCTCATCTTTGCTGTTGACAGTGGTCCGTCAGATGTGATACATTTATGTAAAACATTACTATCAGAAACTGCCTGACAAATGTCATCGACCAGTTTGTCAGTATATAGGCAGTTATGCTTTTTTAGTATATCAACTACTGATTTTTTAATGAGAGGTTTTGTTAACAAAAACAGGTGATCAATGTGCTCAATGATCTCCTGTGTTGCTCTCTGGGACACATGGAGAATGCTCTGCATTTTCAAGAAAAAGCCAGCTAGATTGTGCTGCAACTGCTCTTCTAAACCGTCAGTTGTACCCATTTCACTAGTGGTTGCCACTTCATTTTCATCTAATGGTTCTACTGAATCAAGCTGCATAACATCCTTTTGGTCTACATTTAGGACACTTTGCACAATGCCTTCATCATAATTTGCTGAACTTTGGTGTTCTCGGCATTTGTGCGCATTGAATGTTGAGTATACATTGGTTTTAAAATTGCAGTCCTTGAAAGGACATGGAACAGTTTCTTTCAGTTTTAAATGTCCCCTCAGATGGATAAACATTTGCCTTTCAATAAATGGCTGCTTAAAGTTACACACAGGGCAGCAAAATCCATAATTATTAAAAGCTGGATTTGAATGGTCTTTTCTTTGTGTAGCAGTATGTATTCTTGACACATGCACCTTTAATGAAATAAATGTACTAAATATACACATGCAGGTGTTGTAGAGACAGGGTATATTATGTCGATGTGTGAAATGAACGATCACAGTTTAAAAGCACATTACTCCAAAGAAAAGATAAAAACAATTATACTAATTATGAATGAGTTTTAACATCACACTGTTAGTTTGGGGTTTACTTAACTAATTGTATAAAAGTAAGTATAACTATTTAGCTAAAGTGAGTGAAAATAACTGACATCATTTTAGTAAGAAGCACTATTGGGAATTATAGATGTTTTGGTCAGCTTTTCAGCACTGGATAATGCTAAAAATTATCCACTTCCCCCGTTAACATTTCAAACTATTGGTTTACAAACAGATAACAAAACTTTACAATTTGGGATTAACTATTTGATTATATTGGCTAAATATGTTATCCATGAGTGACGTTTCCTGAAAACCTCCCCATTTTTTGATGCTTTTAAAATTGAAGTATTTATTTTGAAAGAATAATTAAGAGAGTAAGAGAGTAAGAGAGAATAATTGAGAGGCGCTATAGAAATGATGTTTTCTTCTTCTTCTCCTCCTTTCTATTCTGTTTATTGACATATTCTGATACACTTTGAACTATACCTTTTTATTTTATTTGATGACTATTCAGTTCTTATCCTTTTACATATACATTTGATTACTAGAGGTTTGATTACGCTGCATTGTCATAATTTTCTGATTTAAAAAAAGTTACAAACGGGAACATCAGAGTGTTTTCAGATACACCCTGTTTTTCACGTCTCCCTGCTCAAACCAGTCTCCTCCAATTCTCGGTCCCCACCTCCTGTTCCGCCTCCGCCTGCCTGGCTCGTCGGGGGTGGCCTGGTGTACCAGGTCCATAGACTCCTAGACGTTTGCCGCCGGGGTTTCCAGTACCTGGTGGATTGGGAGGGGTATGGACCCGAGGACCGGTCATAAATTCCTCAGTCCTTCATCGAGGATCCTGCCCTCATCAGGGACTTCGAGGCTTCCCGGTGTGCCTCCTCCTCTGCTCGGCCGCCAGGTGGCGTCCGTTGAGGGGGGATGGGGGGGGGGGGGGGGGTGTACTGTCACGGTCTGGGCACTGCTCAGTTTGTTTCTTCCTGAGTTTCCTCCCTGCAGGTGGGTGTGGCTGAGACTCACCAGCTGTTTGGCATCATCATCATGGCACCAGAGTATTTAAGGAGCAACGTGACTCTTCTCCACTCTGGTTGATTACTCAGTTTGGGTAGATCTGATCACCAGTCCTGCACTTCTGTCAGCAATCTGCCTGTTTGAGTTTTAACCCATTTGCCCGTCAGGTTCCCGTATGCTTCATCTACTCCTGTGACAATAACCCCGAATCTTCATACCATGTCTCGCTGCCCTCCTCTGGTCGTCCGCTCTCAGTCCCCCACCTGTCGCTACCTCCAGGATCTTCCACTCACCCAGACCTGACTCACCTCCCCCCTGCTTCCCTTCATCCTGAAGAATGTAAGCCTCAGCAACAGTTCATATCCTCCTGCTATCTGCCCTCTCAAACTTCTCAGCATACTCACTCTGTTCTCCTCTCTAGATCCCGTCCCGCCGAGCACCCGTCCTCCAAATCAGCCGTTATTCCTGCTTCTTTGCAGCGCCCTGAGCACGATTATTCTCCCCGTTATTTTAATAAATCTTATTTATCTTACCTTCCGTTGTCCTTGGTGATTCTGTATGTCGTGGGTCAAACACCTGGTACCCAACATGACACTTACAGAGAAGGCGTGTCCTACAACTAAGAGCACCAGGCAGCCTTTAACCCCGAAGAAGCTGGAAACATTGAGAGGTATGGTATTTTTAGCTGGATTTACAAAATGTTTTTGAGTGTTGACAAGTATGAAGGAGTAAAAGTGCACAAATAATTAAATATATCAATTGATAAATGCTTAAATGTCTATAGTAGATAAAACTGAATTTAAACTAGGGCGGTCATATTTCCATTTCCAGAAAAGAGGGCAGGAGATCTGTGCCTACCGATGACATCACACTAGGGCTGGGCGATATGGTCTAAAATCGATATCACGATATATTGAGGATTTAACCTAGATAACAATTAGTTTTATGCCATTTTGCCTTGGCCCCCAAAATGCATTGAAACGGCCCTGGGTGTGTGACTGAGTTTTGAAGGTGATCTGAATTATAACAAATGTATAAATATTACATGTGTATAATTTATTGTTTTATAAAATGTGTAATGGAGATAAATCTACCGACATTTTACTTTCAAACACTTTGCTTTATTTTCTTGTTGCTTTGTTTTCTGTCTGTCTCTCATCTTCCTGCATCTCCTCTAAACTCTCCAGAAAAACTGCTACTTGACTTCTTACTTTTTCACTTCATCAGTTACTTTTGAGCAGATCAAAGGGATCTCCTGACCGCAAAGTGTAGTAGGCATTTCAGTGCTGCGTCGGTGAGGTGAAACACCGCAGCACACAAATAGCGGAGCACGTCAAGCACGTCACGTAGTGCAACACATGGCTTTTACAAACATATACAGTACCGGACAAAGGACACATCCTTTTATGGAGTAGTTTTTCTTTGTGGTGTTTCTTTCTTTTCTTTGTACCTCTTTTCTACATTGTAGATGAAATTAATTTGCTATATTTAGTTTTCCACACACTTCCATATGCTTTCATTCATTTGGGGCAGCAGTAGCTCAGGTGGTAGAGCGGCAGTGGCGGCTGGCCAGTAGAGGGCGATAGGGCGCCACCCTCCCAGTTTTCCCCAGTGTTTTTAATTTTTATTTAAAAAAATAAATAAATAAAATTAACAATAATCACATATTCTAAGTTAATTGTGTGTTTTGTAACAAAAATAAATCATATATATATATATATATATATATATATATATATATATATATATATATATATATATATATATATATATATATATATATATATATATATATATATATATATATATATATCCATATTGGTCAGAAGCTCTTTGCCGAGCTGTGGAGGCGACAGAAAGGCTGTGGGCTGTGTTTCAATCGCCCAAATAGGACGGGACCAGCCGTCCAATTGCTGACAAGAAAATCAAAGGGTAGGAATGGGAATGTATCCAATCAGCGTCGACGTTGTTTCAGAAGCATGATGGGCGATAGAGCTACCGCCAAAGGCTTTCGTTGGTGTTCGGTAAAACTCGGCAGAGTCGTTTTTGGTCGTGACTAGGGCTGCAACAACGAATCGATAAATTCGATGAAAATCGATTACTAAAAGCGTTGGCAACGAATTGCGTCATCGATTCGTTGTGTCGCACAACTCTTCCAAAAGCGCCCCGCCCACCCCACCCCCCCCCCCTTCCCGCCCGCCGTTGCGTGCAGACCAGAGCAAGTCAGATCAGCGCGAGGGAGAGAGCCGGCAGATCAGCGCGAGGGAGAGAGCCGGCAGATCAGCGCGAGGGAGAGCCTGCAGACTTGTGCTGCTGCGAACCGGTTCCGCATTGTTGCGCAGCGATCCAGGCAGCTGCTTCCAGCGCACGGTCCATTCTCAAAGTGGCGCAACCAAAAAACTATAATTAGCACACAATCGTTCTTATCTGCACATGTTCTCTATTTTCTGCCTTATTTGTGCCTGAAGCGCGCTACTGCGGAGCTCATCACCTGTGCTGCGGTGATGTCACCTCACGCAGCATCGAAAACGCGCTCTGCGCTTTGCGGTCAGGAGATCCCTTTGATCTGCTCAAAAGTAACTGATGAGGTGAAAAGGTAAGAATCCAGGCAACAGTTTTTCTGGAGAATTATGAGGAGATGCAGGAAGATGAGAGACAGACAGGACAGGAAAATAGTTAAATAAAAACAAGAAAACAAAACAAAGTGTTGAAAAGTAAAATGTAGGTAGATTTATCTCCACTACACGTTTTTACCAGTAAAAACAATAAGTTATACACATGTAATATTTATACATCTGATACAGTTCAGATCACCTTCAAAACTCAGTCACACACCCAGGGCCGTTTCAAGACATTTTGGGGGCCAAGGCAAAATGCCCCCCCCCCCCCCCCCCCCCCCCCAATAACTGGGCTCCCCAGAAGCCTCTGTGTAATTCATACCCTCTCCAGCAGTGTTAGTTATACAGTGTTTATAAAAGCCCCTCAGACATTACTGACATGTTCTAATATTATCAGATGAAAAACTAAATTATCAGACATGCTGTCTCATCTGCTTCTTTTCTAAACTTGCTAAAACTAACAAAACCATTTGAAAGCCACTATTTGTGGATTCTCTGAAAGTTTCCATGGAGTGTGTGACAACTTATTTTTTCATTGATCCTATTGTCTAATCTCACAGCTGAAACAAGCATCCTTAATAATCTGTGCACAGGAAGCTTACCGATGCTGTAGTAAAACAAAAGGTATAATAATTTATTATTAATAAAACCTTGTTGCAGCACTAGCATAAAAATGAGATTTTGCATTAAATATGCAAAATATTTACATAAGAATTGTTTTAGAGCCCTTTTATTGGCAGAATCTGATATTAATTTAGTTCTTACAAAGAATGGGTCCCAACGTGGTTTGTGTGGCGTTGCCATAGTGTGATGTCATAGGCACAGATCCCCTGTCCTCTTGTTTGGAAATGGAAATATGATCACCCTACATTAAACAAACTGTCCACCCGGGCTTTTGCGCTGCACAGAGACGCTTCACTGCCTATGACTTTGAACGTCAGTTGAGAGTCAGTCTCATGCAGACTGACCAATGAAGAGAGGGCCTCAAGTTAAGACCCTCTCCTCATTAGTCAGTCCACACAAGGTGGGTCAAAGGTTACTCTGGGCGGGTTACGTGTTGTCAGGCATTCAAGTATTGAGTATATTTACTGCATATTACAGTAAAATATTCTGTATGTGACCACATTATGGTGATCCTCGGGTCGTGATGATGGAGCCCTTGAATATTGTTGCCCAGGGTACAACAAAGTGTTAATCTGGCCCTGGTTCCGCCGTCACATTCCCGCAGAAACTGGTTGATCACACCGGGGCCAGACTACTAGCATGTGGTTTTACAACCACAATGTCCTCGGAAGCAAAAACGCTTTTAAAAGGGAGGGAGGAGTCCTAACTGTTGCTGCAGGCGTGTTGTGTGAGAGTGCAGTTATATACTGGTTAATATATTTTTGGGTTCAGTTGCTTTCATGTGGCCTAATGTGAGTCTATTTGGGATCATTGGAATGATCAGCAGCATTTCTTGATGTGACTTTATGGCAGTTGCCCAGGGCATCATCGCAAGGAGGATGGCATTCATTTACTTTTGTTTTATTTGGTATTTTTTCAGTCATTTTTGGAAATAGTGATCAATTTTGATTAATTCACAGCCTATGTTTAATTGCATTTAAAATAAATATCAACAGATGAGATCAAACAAAACAGATGTGAATTGCCCTTAAGCTGTTTAACTTGGACCAAGCATTTTAGGTCACAGATAGATGTAGCTTAGGGTCTCTGTCTATACACCTTATAAGACAATTTAGGTGATGGCATGTTGTTTTTCTGCTATTGAACTGTTTTCTAATAATGTTGTGTTAAATAAAGTGAAGGAAGGAGAGAAATAACGTTTCCCTAGCAGTTTTTAAAAATTTCCCCATGTAATCCGATTAATCGATTAATCGTGTCGAGACCCCGTCCGATTAATCGATTATCCAAATAATCGTTTGTTGCAGCCCTAGTCGTGACGCAGATGTAACATGGACGCCGCCAGTGACTACAACCAGCATGGACACCGGATCTCAGCAGCCACTGAAGTTCGGTCTCTTCTCCAGTATCCGTTCGAGAGGAGAACTATGGTGGAAAAACTTAATGTCAAAGAGCTTGGACCAGATCAGCCTGATGTAAAGATAAGCCAGCAGGAGAAGGAGAGAGGTAAACTGTACACACGAGGCTTCTCCCGAAATTGGTACACCAGGAAGGCTTGGCTAGCTGGATGCAATCACGCTAATGCGTTATTTTGCTTTCCGTGTTTGTTATTCTAAACGGCTGGGACAGATAAGGCATGGATTGAGTCAGGAGTTACAGACATGAAACATTTTTCTGAGAAGGTGAAGAAACACGAGTCATCCTAGGCACACATGGACAACAACACGGTGAAGCTAGCCATGCTAGGCAGAGCTAACATTGCCATGCAGCTCGACGAGGGAAACGGAAGAAACGGAGGACGTTTGGCCAGGGAGAACAACAGCAGCTGGGTGCAGAGGTAAGCTGTACATTACATTTCTGTGAACAAGACAATCAGAATCAGAAATCCTTGGTTGTCCCACAAACCGGGACATTTGTTTAATAACATGTTTAATGTGCAATAACTGTAAAAACTAATTTCAACACACATACTTATTATACATATTTAATCACGTAAATGTGTATTTCATGTAAATTTGTACATACATCAATCTGATTCCATTTTACTTGTTACACTTCTGCTGCAGCAAACAAATTTCCCAGCTTTTGGGACAATTAAACATTTCTGATTCTCAATTAGATGTTTTTACCTCAGATGTAAAAACATCTGATTGAGAATCAGAAATGTTTTATTGTCCCAAAAACTGGGAAATATGACATTTGTAAGAGGATACTGATGACATTATTTCCTATGAAAGTGTTTCCTATGTACAGTACTTATCTGTTGTTTTTTATTTATCTACTTTAAAGAGGATTAAGACTTTCCTTGAGGAACACCATGACACAGGATGGGCTGAATGCTCTTGCCATGCTCTCCATGGAAAAAAAGCTTGTCACAAACATTCCTGACTTCAATAAAAAGCTCATCGAGAGCTTTGCCACTCAGAAGGACAGAAGGGCAAAATTTCTGTACAAATGAGGTATCACACACACACACAGATGCATCCACTTGATC